TTAAAGAAAAAAGAGAAGAGGCGATGAGCTTCAACACTGCAACAAATATGAGAAATTTAGTAAAAATCAGTGCAAGATATGCAAGAGTACAATAATTCACGTAATTTCTCCCCAATAAACATGAGATATATCGATTGATTTGAGTTTGACAAAAAATAAAATAAAATTACAAAACTAAACCAATTAATTTTAAGAATAAATTCTCAATTCTAATTTGTCCTGAAAAATTCAATTGGCCTAATTTGGTCCTTAAATAAAAAAGTCACCATATAATCCTTTAGGATTACAAACATGAGATAATCCTTTAATTTTTTATTATTATTTTAGTACATAATTAGTTTTAAAAAAATGAATATGTCAGGCAATTTAGTTCCTTAAAAAACATTAGTGATCCAAATTAGTCTTTGAAAATATAAAGTAAATTCTTTTATAATTTTAAGAATTATTTAGTGACTTTTTTCTTTAAAAATTAATCTGAAGTTAAGCAAAATTTTAAAGATTAAATTAAATATTAATTCTAATTTAATAATTATTGACGTGTATGTATATATAATGTTTAATAACGGATTTATTTTATGTTAGGATAATATGAACAAATTTTGATTGTTAAATTATATTATAAATTGTCAAATTAAAACGTACAAATCATATAAATTTTTTAAATATATATATACTGGTAAGAAAAAGAGCAATAAAAAATATAGTAATGAATAGAATGAAAAAAAAAAAAAAACTAAGTATCCTCATCAGTACGAGGGCTCCCTCAGTGGCTACGATTGAACTAGTTTGAAGGCCATTGAACCATGAGCTCGAGCTGACTCAAGTACTCCCAATCTCCATCATACGTACAGTACTATACTTAAAATATCTAAATGTACCGATTTCAATAATAGTAGCCACCAAATTCAATTTCATTTAATTGTTATAAAATTGTGATTCAAAAAAATGATGACGACACTGAACAACAGCAGCATTTGAACCACACACAGTACACGCAGCTACACAGCCACACAAGGCTGTACTGTGTATGATCCCACATCAATCTCTAGAAATTTATAGATATTATAGAAACAGACATTTTCTATAGGAAAATTTTGACAGACGAAAGTTCAAGGAAACCTCGTAAGTCATTATTAAACCACTATTTTATTCAAGCATACATATAATTATGTTTGTGAAATTATCTACAAAATCATGTACTTTTCCTTACGGAATTGATAATTCCTTTCCATGGCTGAAAATTTGTGTATAAAGTTCTGTAGAATATATGGCTATAAGAAGGATAATGAGAAATAATTTTTTAACATAAATATATATAGAGTAAATTTTTTTTATTAAAAATTACATGATATCATTGAATTCAATGCATTAATAATATTAAAATTTTATAAATGATTAATTTCTTATCATATAATGTTAAATCCACGCAAAATGGTTAAAAGAAATTGCTTGCTGAGATTGGCAAGTGTGACATGTTAGGAACCAGTTATATTTGAAGGGGAAAGAGGAAGCTTCGCAGAAGATGTGAAGCTAACAAGAAACAAATGCATGTGGGGGTAATGGGTGCAAGGGGGAAACACATAAGTGGCTATTGGGAATGTTGAAGGGTGAGGATGGAGAGGGAGATTTACCTGATTGGGATGGGACTGAAACCAATTGATATGTTTTTTGGAGGCAAGTGATATGATAATGTGATGAGGGGAGGATATAGACATTAGAGACTACCAAGTTTTGTGTATTTTGAGACTTCTCAGTTCTCATTTATTCATTGGCCTTCCAATTTTTGTTGATAAGGATGTATTCTATAGACAAAAAGTAGAGCTGAATCAATTTGCCTCCTTCAGCATGTGATCCCCTCATGACTCAGCCTTATATGACAGTTAGATATGTACTTACGACAAAACAACTTACGAGTACCTGGTTAAAAGAATTAATTGAGCCATGACTGGAAATGGTTGAGCATAGTAACATAGAAAGCTAATAAATTCAAAACCACTCGTGGATCTAATTGGATTGGTGAACTTGCAAATTTTGATAACGTACGAGTAGTGAGAGTTGTCCTAAATAAAATTTGAAAAATGTTTCCTATACATTGACGGTGAGACACCATTTTGATCTTTTTTTTTTAATTTTAAAATATGTTTTTAAGATGTGTGTGTGTGTATATATATACACACACACGATATCCCACAATACTAATATTCAGAGATTCAATAACAAAACTCTTCAACATTCAAGCTATAGTACGGTTGAAAATATCTTCTGATCACTTTAAAAATCTGGCCGTTTTTGATGTAAGATTTAAATTTGAAAGAAGAATCAAAATGACTATAAGGACAAACGGGTTGCGGTCCCTCTATACCTATGATTCTATCCTTTCACTCACGAGACAGAGCTGAAATAAGCAAAAACTGAACCATGTTCTACAGAGTTGACAGCGCAACTGGAACAATGGTGAATCTGTTGAAGATATGCAACGAATAAAAGAGAAAGATGTATGGAGAAAAAAACCGTAATATATAGCATAAACAAACATTAATTCTCTAGACAAACATATATTCAACAAACATGTTTGCAGACATTCGTTATCCTGCATGGGATTACATTAATTATTTGATTTTAGGAAACTAATAATAAAATAATTTAAAATACAACAACCCTCAAACAATGATTGAAATGTAATTTATGTGCCTTCAGAGGAAAAAAAAAGGAACAAAAATGAAATAGAAGCTATCAGTTGTGCATTAGCAGCTCCCAAAATTACATTATTGCAAATTGATTTAATTTATTAACTTTATCATTCTAACAGGAGTCAGTGAATTTTAAGTTATTAATAATAATAAGATTTTATTAAAATTTTTTTTTAATATACCTTTTTTTAATAAAATTTATTATTTTTAAATACTTACCAAAATTAACATATTCATTAATTAATATCTCCAAAAACTGAAAATACCTCGAAATGACCATATCCAAAATAATAATCGACACCTATTTTAACTTACATGAAAAAAGAGAAAAAAAAGTTTAAAATGTAGAAAGTAGAGATATTTTTTTTCCTACTTCATCAAGTCAAACACTGATGAGTTTAGCAATCCCGTGAAGGAAGTGAAGGACAGTACCTTAAGGATTGTGCTTCTCCGCACCATGTGAAGTGAAAATACGACTCAACTTGGTTTCTTCACCAAAACACTTCACGAATTTTTTGTGCAAACTTGGTCTTAGCAATATATATAGAGCAGATAAATAGCACTTTATTATTTATCTCCTTTGCTTTGTGAAATTTCTTACCACTTTCCCTGTCTGGGTACTTTCCAGCATTGAGTATTGGGGATGTTGATGTTTGTTAATTTTTCCTCTTGTCCAGGCACAACGAAGATAGTAACTTGTTGGTAGTAGGTACAAGAGCTACAGAGGATTCAGATTCGTATTAGATGGTCATACATACTGTTCAATCGGAAATAATATTGTTAAACTTAGGTTTAACTATACTTTTAATTTGTTTTATATGTTTCGGCTTTGAAATTTCACTTATTTAAGAGATAGTCTTAAATATTTACCCTTTTTTTGTAAAATAAAAATTTAATCATTTAATAATGAATTATATTTTTTGAAAGTTATTATATACTAAAATAAAATTAATCAACAAAATGTTAATTATCTTTTGAATTGTATGAATTTTTATAAAATTTAATCGATATATATATATATAAAATTAAATTTAACAGTTGAATAAATGAAATTCATTATTTATAAAGTGTTATTAGAGAAAGTAACTTTGGTAAGAATTATTCAAATTTCAAGAATGTAATTTATTTTATAAAATTTAAATTTAATCAATAATTAAAAATTAAAAACATTTTAAAGTATTACGCTATTCATATAATGTTGTGTACATACGTGGTTTTGATTTATTTTGGCGCCTACATATTTCAGTAAAGTTCCAAAAGAGCATGGCCGTGCAATGGTTTGTACTTGCTTTATTCAATGCCATAAATAAAGTAGTCGTGGTTATTATTTCTCAGGCATTATTTTTTCTTGGTCTTGGTGGTCTTTAGCATCGCAACATGCGCAATGAATCAACTCCTTGATTTTGATATTTTGGTGTTACGCAACCATACAAAAACCGTGAGTTTGTGGCTTTCAAATTTTCTTCTGCTTCAATCATTGTTGAAACTAAAACGTCTTTCTATCGTTCTTAAATTCCACTTTATATTTTATAGAAGAAAAAGAGTTGTTCATATCTCCAAATATAATTTTTTATGCCTGATCATTATTACATGATAAGCCAGAAATTATTTCACATAATTTCTCTGATATAATTGTATCTCGTTTTCTCATCTGTCATCCTTACATACTGTCCTGAATGAAAAAGGTCAGACAAAATAATCTCTACTTTCCAGTTGGATATATATTTTTTATTTTATTTAAGTTATGTTTCTTTGGTATATTATCGCAAATTAGGTCTACTCTTAGACGTTCTACCTATATAATTTTCTAAACTACTACAAATCTTCGAAAGGGTGAAGAAAGAAAAAGAATATAATTGCATTCAAATAAAAATTACACCTGAATAAGTTTTGAAATTTGATATTTGTAAACAATTATTAATAGAAATAAATTCATTAAAATTTATCTAAATTAATTAAATTTATTTTTATATTTATAAAATCTTGATATCACTAACTAATTTTTATAAAATATTATATTAATTAATTCAATCGTTATATTATTTTAGATTATATTTATTATCATATATATCAAATTTTATATAATTTAAATATTTGTAAACATGTTATTTAAAATTTGATATTTACTTATATTTTTAAAAAATTATACGTTAGAATAAACTAACAAGATGAATTATCTATCATTTTATTTTATATAAATTTAATAAAATTAATTTATTTGATAGAAATCTTTTTAAATTAACGGTGAAAAAATAGTTAACGTCAATGAATTATATATATATATATTATTGAATTCCTTATTAAAAAAACAATGAAACTTCGTGGAAGGTTCATTGTAGTTTGGAAGGTAACGGCACTCCCCAGCTTCCATATACGTTATAAATACACCACTTTGTCACACGAACAAAACAAACAAACACTACATGCATGAATATCGAATAGCTATCTAGGAAGTGCGACAGTTACGGAATACACAACAGTGTCACTTTGTAGTTTCTCCACAACCCATCATCATATCACGTCAAAAAATTGCATTGCCTTGTGTCCTCTCCTTTTCTTCGATTGCTACAAACAAATTAAACTAAGAAAGCAAAATGGGTTCTCACCAGCAAGAGCCATGGCAACTAGAGAATGGGAACTTGAAGGGGTTGAGCAAGGAGATGAGGCATGGCCGCACCGCACACAACAAGTCTTCTTCTTCCTTGCGCAAGAAATCTGATCTCACTCTTGTATCGAAGATTCGATGTGGATTACTTAGAAACTTCCTTACTAACTGCCAAGAGGTTATTCTTGGCACCAAGCTTTCTATTCTCTTCCCTGCCATTCCGGTTGCTATCATTGCCCAGTGCTATGGCCTTGGAAGAGTGAGTAATATACTTCATTTTATGTTTTAACATGTTGCCACCCATGCTTTTTTTCTCAAAATAAACTAACTCAAACCAATTGCTACAAGGGTTTGACTTAAATATTTTAATTAAACTCTAGTTAATAAATTTGTATTATGTGAATATTTATTTAATAATTTATCTTAATAAGATATATTAAAAATTATTAAAATAAACTTAAAAAACTTAACAAAGTCATAACTTTTTCATAAGGTTTTTCGAGCTTTTCTTTAATTAAACTTACTAACATTTATTCTTAAACGAGAGTCTCGCCCATTGAGTTGCATTTAACTAGTTAATTCAACATGCACTAATTCTTATTGACTTTTATTGAATATCCAACTGAATATATAGCTTCCTTGTAATGAAAGTATACTGGTATAGGTAAAATATTAAAAATATTGAGAACATTAAAAAAATCACGGTCAACCAAATGAATTGATTTTGAGTTTAAAAATGGTTTGACAGTATTTTGAACACGAGACAGGATTAAAATAGAGTAGGACACTATTTTTTTTATCAGTTAAAATTTTAACTACGTGAAACGAACTTGTGTAAATTTAAATTTGGTCTTCACTAAAAATATAATTTAAATGTTCCAAATTGATTTTTATATTGGTCCTATGCCGCTATTACATTATGATGAGTATAACTGTTCTCTCTTTTGTTTTGCTTTCCTAACAGCCGTGGGTTTTTGTACTGAGCTTACTTGGGCTTACTCCACTTGCTGAACGTGTTAGCTTCCTCACAGAGTAAGGAGCCTTAGATGAACTTGTTGCACTCTTAGTTTATCTTTGGATCATTTTTTGCACTTTTTTAGTTTCTGGGTTGATTGCTGATTCTCATTCTATTTTCTCCTTTGGTGTCACTTCAAATATTGCAGACAAGTTGCCTACTACACTGGTCCTACAGGTATGAATCTGCTGTGAATCAATTTTGGAGAGTCTATCACAATGAAATTTTCCTTTACTAGCTAATGTTTGATTTGGAACATATAAGAAACATCAAAGATTAATGCCCTTTCGACATTACATCAATCACATTTCCTAGACTCTTTTGATAGCCATGTGTTATAGAAGATTTTAGAGACAAACCGTGTGCTATTTGTGATCTAGGAAATGGTAAAAAAAAAGGACTAAAACTAGAATAAAAAAGAAAGAGTTTTATAAATTGTAAGTACAAAATTGATTATGTTGTGATTAAAGCTAAATGTTTTTTATATTTTATACTCTCAATCACAGTTGGAGGACTTCTAAATGCGACATGTGGGAATGTTACTGAGCTCATAATAGCAATATTTGCCCTTAGCAGTAACAAAATTGCTGTGGTCAAGTATTCTCTCTTGGGTTCTGTACTCTCAAACCTTCTTCTGGTTCTTGGGACCTCTCTATTATGTGGTGGCATTGCAAACATTAAACTGGAACAAAAATATGACAGAGTAAGGCCCTAATGCAAAGTTTCATCTAATGAGTACATAACTTTTAGTTATTTTTATATTGTGGAATGATTACTAATGTTAAGCATTGAATTTTCTGTAATTTTTTCTTGGTTTTTGAATTTGCAGAGACAGGCAGATGTAAACTCACTTATGCTTCTTCTGGCATTGTTGTGCCACATGCTTCCGATGCTGTTCAAATATAGTGCTGCCTCTGCTGCTTTCACTGCAGACCCTTCACTCCACTTGTCAAGAGCTTCTAGCATTGTGATGTTGATTGCATACTTTGCTTACCTTATCTTTCAACTGTGGACACACAGGCAACTATTTGAAGCTGATGATGTATGTTTTGTTGAATCATGCAATTAGTCTAATTTATGCATATATCTTAAAACTAATTAACATCATGAAATGGCCAGGAAGATGAAGATGGCAACAATGGTCCAGAAGAGCAAGCTGTGATTGGATTCTGGAGTGGCTTTGCTTGGCTGGCTGGGATGACTGTGTTCATTGCTTTGTTGTCTGAATATGTGGTGGATACAATTGAGGTGATTAACTTAAAATATTTTTCAAAAAATTGAGTTCCATTTTGACAATTGTAATAGTGATGATAAAAAATGTTAATCTTAACAGGATGCATCAGATTCATGGGGTCTGTCTGTTAGCTTCCTCAGTATAATCTTGCTACCAATAGTTGGCAATGCAGCTGAACATGCAGGAGCAATCATATTTGCTTTCAAGAACAAGTTGGTAAGATTCCGCACTTCCTCTCATTTAGCAAATATTCATATTGACCAAGCAATAAAAGATTTAAAATATATATATATATATATATATATTAATTCAATTAAACTAAAGTAATGCCTTGCCTGCAGGACATCTCATTGGGTGTTGCATTGGGTTCAGCAACTCAGATTGCCATGTTTGTGGTAAGATACATATATTTATTATGCAATGGATGCTTTCATTTAGTTTTTTTTTTTTTCCCTTTCATTTTGGGATGAGTAATGAAAATTTATTCAATCGCCAAATAGGTCCCCTTGTGTGTGATTGTTGCATGGATAATGGGTGTCAAAATGGACCTGAACTTCAACCTCCTTGAGACAGGTTCTCTTGCTTTGGCAATAATAGCCACAACCTTCACTTTACAGGTATATTTATCATAATATCAGTTGACAAATACACCATATTTTGACCTTGTATTTTTATTCAATCTATTAATGAAACATAACCATTGACAAAACCACCACTTTATTTATTTATAGGATGGTACTTCTCACTACATGAAAGGCCTTGTTCTCTTGCTATGCTACATTGTAATTGGGGCTTGCTTCTTCGTGCAAATAATACCCTTGAGTAAGTAGAATACATAATTTTTTCAACGGTTAAAAAAATAGTGAAAACCTATACCTTTATTCTAAATTTGTGATTCATATCTAAAATTTAATCTTGTATTTTTCCCAGACCATGCTGATGTCACTAACATCACGCTTAAGTCAGCCAATAATGCAGCTATAAGTGCTTAATAGGTAATTTACAAATTACAAGTTGGCACAAGCATGTAATCCTTTGCGTGCACATAAACAATATCAAGCTAATGGGATCTTAATTTGATGGCAGGCTTTGGCCTATTTTTGTGATCCTTTCATTAGATGAAGAATGGTGGGCATCCAGACTCAAACTCAGATTCAATGGATTGGTTATTATTTCATTCAAATCATTCTATTATGTCCAAAATGAAGGAAGAAAAAAGCTTGCAGTAGCTTTGCAAGTATTTTAATGGCAAGCTGTAACCTTTGCAACTGATTTTGTGTTCCAAGATGTCCAATCATACAACGTGTGTTCTATCGGAAAGTTGCTTTTGATCGTGTACTTCGGTAGATGTCAAATAAATGAAATTGTTCTTGTTTGGGTTTGCTTTAGCAAGAATCCCTTTTCGGTTTGAAGAATCTCTTGCCCTCTTGTATAACTGTTTGCTCAACCTCTTGCATGTGATTCATGTGAAGAGTTTTAAGGGTAATAAAATTCTATAATGTTTTTTCTTTATATCTTTGACTGTATACTTCTTCCAGTTTCAAATATAAGTAAAAAATAACTAAATTATATTAATTAAAATAATTAATTAATTTCATTTAATATTCTTATGTTTATAAAAAAATTGACCTACATTATTTAATATATCTTTCAAGATTATTTAAGGATGATTTATAATTTTTATAAACATTAATTATTATTAGTTTATAGTTAAGTTTTTATGCTAAATATTAAAAGCAAGACGTGAAAATCAAAAAGTCATTTAACAGAAAATAATTAAATTTTGATAACTAATTTTAATAAAAGTTATTTTCTATTTTGAAATTTATATGGAATTATTCACTTGTATCTTAAATATGAAAAAAATTCATTAAAATAAAAAAATTAAATAAGGGTATTTTAGTTATATTTAGGATGAGAGGGATTATTTCCATTGTTATTGAGCGCAAATTATATAATCGATTGGGTCATAAATCACATATCCCATGTCACATTCCAACTAAGGTTTTATTGACAAAGATATGGGTGACAACGAAATATATATTGAAAAAGATATATTTAATAGCAAAAAAAAAAAAAGATATGTTAAATGTGGATATTTGTTTTAGTTTAATTAAGAAAAAATAATATTTTTTTAATTCTTTTAAGATATGTTATGAAACTGTATTTGGAGGGGAAGAGAAGGATGAATAAATAATTTATTTTTAAATTAGGAGAGTTACGAAATATTTATAAAATAAATAAATGAATGAATAAAATATTAAATTTATATTATATTATTTTATTTAAATTGATTATAAAATTAGAGTATATTTATTAAAAATAAAAATTATCTTTTTTTCAATTAGCTCCCAAACATATTTTAAAAAATAGTCCTGAATTTTTTAAAATTATTATTTAAAAATGATTATTTTCACACAATAACGAAATGAGAGATTCTCTTCTCAATTTTCTTTTGTCTTTTTACGAGGAAAAGTGTTTTTCAGTTGGTAAAGAAAAAAGCAGGTCGTATTGTAATCTTGCTTGACCCATGTAAGATTCCTCCCAACACTTGGGTCAATCGGCCTAATACCAGGCCGTTCCATGAAGTAAATTTATGGGCTAAGCCCATGTTTAGCCCACAATCAAAATGAACAATCCATTCCAGTTAAATTTTGTGGACCGAAAAACAAGTTAAATTTTAGGTTTTCCTTGAATTCGATGCATTTTGGAATTTGTGGGGAATTATTTTTTGCATTTTCTTTCAAATTCTAGTAAAAGAATGTTTTTTCAAAATTTCTTCTGTAATAATCCAATATTTTTTCAAATAAATTTCTAAAATTATTTTTTTATTTTAAAATTTTTCTTAAAAAGATAATAAAAAGAGCAAATAGGTCAATTAAAAATAAGTAGTTTAGCACAGTTTTTGACGAGTGTTGTTTTGCTCGAAAGACAATGATAAATGAATATTACATTATCACTCGCACACTGACACACACAAACATATATATGTTTGACTTTTGCTTATCGCACACGTAATTAATCACTGCTCTTCTAAAAAAGAAATTAATTTTTTAAAATTATTAATTCATTTTAGAAATAAATTTTTAGAACTAGATTTTACACTTTCATAAATAAGTTTATGCAATTAAGATTTTACACTTAAACATATTTTTGAAAGTGTAAAAACCTAAATTTAAAAACTTATTCTTGAAAGAATTAATAATTCTAACAATTATTTTAAAATTATGGAAACCTATTTTTAGAAACAATTATTCTGTCAACTAAAATAACTATTTTGACAACTAAAAGTCACAACAAATATATTTTGTGGCACTTAAAAGAAACACCAATTTTAGGTATGACACAAACTTAGTTAAACAAAAAATAGTGAAAATAGTTTGTGCCTTATGTAACATTAGTATTTCTTTTAAATGACAGAAAATATATTCGTAAAGTCACCAAAATAGTTATTTTAAAAATAATTTTTTTTTCTAGTGGTATTTTCAAAAATTAAATCTTAATTTGTTTTCTGCAAGCTTATTTCTAAAAATATAAAATTCTAATTTTGAAAATTTCTTAACTTTATCTTTAGAAGCTGAAAAATCAAGTTTACTTTAATAATAACTTAAAAAGTTAATTTTTGTGAGTCAAAATCTTAAAAAGCTCTACGCTATTTGTCAAACTTTCTTTACACTATGAAAGACATATTTTTATAACATTATTGTTAAAAAAAATATTTCATTCAAAATGCACACAATTTTGTAAACATACAAGTTTGAAGTTAGATATAAATAATTAAATATTATGTGGGCAATTTCATAAAATGATTCTAAAAATTGACAAATTTTCTTTCCTTTCTCTATAAAAAGGATAATATTTATAATTTTCATCAACCAATCAAAAAATATCAAAAGTTTTCTAGTATCTAATTGTAGTTTCATGCATCAAATACATAGAATTTCATGTGATAGATATATCTAATCTTAAACCATTGTTAATGTTTATGTTAACATTAAATCTAACCATATATTTGTGTGGACAAGTGTACCTGTCAATCATATAGAAATAAGTCATAAAAACACTCTAAAATATACACTTATGATCATTATCTAAATTATCCTTTAACATATTTAACACTCTCTCTAAATTTTAAATCCTCTTGAACTATTTGATTAACTATTTTGCACCTAATGAATTTTCAAAATACCTAGTATGTTATTGTCTAAAGTAATTAAGAAATTTTTCTTATCAATTATCTATTTCTTTAAGTAATCAAACACATTAGCCTCTAATTCAACACAAGTGAAACTTCATTTGAAAGAAATGAGAATTTTACTAATTAATTTCTAATCCTCAACAAAATGTGTCGTTAAACAAATATAAGTCATGGTTTCTATACAACCATCAAAAGTAAGATACATTATGTTTGGGATCTTACACATGACTTTCTTATGTTTATTCATATCTTTTATATATATATTTTATGAATATTCAACATGAATATGATCTTAGACTGAATTACAACATTAGGATTTAAATAGTTCATTAAATCTCTAATTTCTTTATAATTAGCAAAATTGAAGGGCAAATCATTATTTTGAGCAAAAAATTTTAAATGGATATTTTCATTAATTTTTTATACAAGAATTTCCATGAAGTCTATAATTTTTTTGGTTTAGTATTTTTATTAATCGCATACTCATTGTCACACCAACTACGTTAATTCTTTTCAATACCATCTCTTTACCTAATACCATCTCTTTACCAATTTTTGTAAAGAATTTCTTTAGTTTTAGAGTTTTCACCAATTGCATGCTCGGTGTCATCACAATAATTGCACAAAACCTTTTCAATATTATATTTGTCTTTAATAAATTTTGTAAATAATTTTCAAATATTTGACACTTCTCTTTTAAGTTGTCTCTATATTTCTAGAGGAGTTTTAGAAATAATATCATCATTCATATTCATAGTTTTAGTTATAGGCTCTTTAATAAAATTTTATAGTTCCTATGTAGTATTTAGACAAACAAAATAAGAGAAAATTTCCATATATAACTCTTTTTTACATACATGAATGTTAAATTAAACATATATTTTGCATACTTGTATAGTTGTTATGATTCTTTCAGGCTTATACGTATTGTAGCTTTTCCCTTCAACTAGTAAGAATGAATTAACTTACTATTGTTTGTCAAATATGAATTTGTTGTTTGTCAAATATCAGTTAGGGTACTAGTTTTTGTGACACAAAAATAGAAAATAGAGAAGCAAAAATGCTTTAAATTATGAAAAGAATGAATAAGAAATAAACTCTTTTTTTTTGGTTTTCCATCCAGTTTAATTCAAATCCAACCCAGGTCATGCACTTGGATATGGTGAGTGAGTCTATCGTTGGAAATTTTTTACATACACAAAGACTCAAATTCAAGATCTTACTTTAGCAATACCGAGCCACTTGCCACTCAAATTAACCCCCATTGGTAGAATAAACTCTCTTTATTCAATAGTAGCGAAACATTTATAATAATTCAAATAAAACAAAAATTAACTATATATGGAACCAAGATTTTAACACACTAACTTACTCATGAAATAAATGAACTACCTATTGGCTATGATATTTATATAATAAACTAAAACAACAAAAAATAGTTACAAAAACATATTGTTAACACTTCTTCTTACTTTAAAAATTACAAACTCTTTTTCTGCAACTTAAATTTGCTAACAGAAATTGTTGTTGTCAAGAAGAATCTTGTATTTTTCAAAGTAACTAGTTCTAAAAAAAATTTCATATCATTAATTGACCTTGATTACTCTTAGTGAAATCAATCATCTTGAATTTTTCACTCTTCTTATAATTGATGTTCGAGTTACAAATACCTTTGAAATATCTAATTACCATTTTTCCTTGAGATGTCTTTACTTATCCTATGCAAGAAATGAGAAAATTAACTTTCAACACTTAAATATTAAGATGAATTGTTGTGATATTTTCTTTGCATTAGAAAGTTGCTTGCTCCTTCTTCCAATGGATTTAGAGTAAAATTTTTCTTTTTCACTTTAAAAATATCTTGATCAACTTCACCTTTAATAAAAGAATGCATGTTTGAAAAAACAACTTTAAATCTGTAACAATTAAGTAATTTGGTCAATTTTAATAATCAAAAGGACGTCATGAATTAATTTTGTGCCTAAATAGCTTGTTGTTGCAATTGTTCCTTTTCCTTTGACTGAGATGAAATTATCATTTCCTATTTTGATTTTGGTGATGTTAGTCAACATCGAATCTCTAAAGAGTTCCTTGTTGTTTGTCATATGGTTAATGCAAGCACTATCAATTAGCCAACTTTTGTTTGATTTAAAGTCTAACAAGCAAGTAACAACAAACAAATAATTCTCTTCCTCTTGATGATCTTAAACTTTTATATTAGTTTTAATTTTTATTTTTGCATATAACATCTTTATGTCTCATGTGGTTGCATTTATTACGTTGTTCATAAGGCCTCATCTAACAGTTGAAAGGTGGATGACCATTTTTTCCACAATGATGACATGAAGGATAAAAATTTTGTTTGTATCTCGCACCTTGATGATAGGTGACATGTAAGCTGTAATGTCCCGAGTTTTGTCATCTATTTTGATTTTAATATAAATTGTGAAATTCTTTTTGAATGTGCAATTGATATATATGATGATGTGAAATATATATATATATATATATATATATATATATTTGTGTGTGTGTGTGATGTGAATGTTGACTATGGATTAGGATATGTTCGGACTGATTGAGAAATAGGTTAAGTGTGTGCTGCAAGGGCGTTCTCGGTGTAACGAGAAGGCCCTGGGCGAGAGAACTGCACCTGTTGCATTATTCCTGTAGTGAGATTCTGTAGAAAATGAGCTGCAAAATCCTCTGATATTTTTGCTGTAGCGAGAAAGGGCTTCGCTGCAGCAAGAGTGTCGTGACTCCTATGTTATTTGAGGGGATTAGGATTCAGGAAACTCATTTCCCATCTTTCTCTTTAAAATCTCTTTTGATTCTCTTAATTCCCAACCGTATTTCATCAATTAAACTGCCTTCAAAGCCGTTTATGAGCAATATTGAAGGTTAATCTTGTGTTTGGGATGCTTGGAGGTAAATTTTATAAGCTAAGGTTTTGGTCTTTCGTCCCTTTCTTCGTTTTCTTGATTTCTCATGGAGATTTTCCATGCATTTAAGATGAAGCACCATGTGAGAAACATTTTCTACCTTTAGATTGTGTTGGGTCTTCATTCCAAGATAAATGAGGACTCTAATCTATCCCTTTGTGTTGCTAGATAGTGGAATGTGATTTAGATAGAATGTAGAAAGATATGTATTTGGATGTTTGAGTGTAATGTGATTGAATGTGGGCATACGTGTCATGTGTGAAAGTGAATATTATGATATAATTGACAATGTGGTTGAAATTGTGTGGACATGCCATTGGTTGATAATGAAAAATGTTAAATGATTGAAAATACATGTGAATGACATGATGGTTGTGTTTGAATATGTTGGGAAACTATAAATGGTTTAGCGATATACTAGAAGTGCGGAAGATGGAGACAATAGAAATACTTTGGAGAAGAGAGAGTGATGGTGACACCAACAGTGAACGTGGGTATATCACAGACCACACACTCTCCTCCTGACTCGACTTCTGACTAACATTTTTGCTAGAAGGCTCAATATCGCACACATTGTATCCGTAGAGTGGGGGCTATCCGGCAACCATTCATGGTGTGAAAACTGAGTAAGTTCCTGAAGTTGAAAGCGTTAGGAATCTGTGATCACATTGTTACAGTGAGTGTGACTAATGTACAGTGAGTGCACGTATATGTATAAATGATTAAGGGTGCAATGAGCGCACCTGTGTGTTAATTAATGTGCAAATGTGTGCGCATTGTTAAAAAGAATGGATTGATGCTTATTTAAATGTGGTTTTATTATATTAGTGATTGTTGTGAAATGTGCAAAGTGAGTCTCTATACTTGTGTGTGTATGTGATAGTATAGAGTACTCACCCTTACATCTATTTTTCAAGTGACCAAGATGATCAACATCAAGTTCAGTAAACGGGAGGGATGGAACTACTGTAGAACTTAGAAACTTTTGAAATATGTGATGCATTTAAATTAGTCCTGTAGCATTTGTTTTGTCTCAAACTTATTACCCTTTTTATTTTAAAATACTTTATTGAAACTATGTATTGAGAACCCTTTCAATGAAATTATTATTAGTCCTATTTATCGTGAAATTTATTTATTTAAAAAATGAAATTAAGGTATTACATAAGCCTCTCTCAATAACACTTTCTTACTCTATCATTGTGTTTGTAAGGCTTTTAAAAGTTTTATCAGTGTGATCTTAAACGAGTACTTAATATTCTCTGAGGTGGTGATTATAGTCTCAAATCTTTTAACTTTTTTTACAATTCTAGAATAAAAAAACTCAGTGCTTAGTAATCTTATTTTATTAGTTATGTCAAGAAGTCTATTTAACTATACTTTAATTGTTTCAAACTCTTTCATTCTTTAGAATTCAAATTTCTCCATCAAATCTAGTCCTTGCATGCATCAAATCTTTTTATCTCTCACATATTCTTCTTTAGATAATTCCAATTTGTTTTTGTCTTTTGAGTTTTTCTCTCATTGGGACTTTTTATATGACCATGGTAGGATTGTCCAGTTGTAGAAAAAACTTTAAAATTCTTTTTCAACATCACTCTTACAATGGATATACACTACTTTTGCCTTCAATTTTATTCTCCTTTTTTCTAACTTGGTTAATCATTAGTCTAATCACTAGTTTGCTATCAATAATTTCAAATACTAAAGCTTTGAAAAGAATTTGTTTCTACACATTTGAGATACATACAACAATCAGCCATAACATTTTTTTTCTTTCAAACCTATAAAAGAAAGTGAAGGAAAGGCACCATAGCCTATGGCTGAATGTCTTAACAATATAAATCGAGCTTCTTGTTTAAAGAATCTTACAAGGAAGCATTGAAGTTCCACTTAATTATTCCTTCTAGTGGCATAAATATCATGTTGGATTTGTTGATATTGATAAGTTAATATTCTAAAAATTGTTAAAGAAAAGTTAGGATCGTAACTTTTATAAAGACATTATTTTTTAACTTTATGGATTACTCAAATAATAATGGCTCCACACTGTTAAAAGGAACATTGAACTATTCACCAGCGTTTCATGTCATAAAATTTGAAGAAGGAAATACAAAAAAAAATTAAAAATAGAAAGATTTATTTTTTTCACCATATTATTTATGTAGCTTTTAGAGATATTAAAGATTTAGATAGTTGTGTTATACAAGAATTTGTAATTTTGCTAGTCTAAAAGTTGTAAATGAAATAATTTATAATTTTATTTAATAATAAATTACAAAATAATAAAAGGTGGTCCAAAACTTATAAATTAGATTATTTATATTTTTACTCAATAAATATTATAAAATAATAATTTATAATGAGAATTTGTGCACATAAGTAAAATATATCAAATTATATTAAAATTATGTGTTCTTTTGGTTTTTTTATTTTTTCTTTTTCATATAAGTGTTTTCGTGTACAGAGAAAATGCAGATGACTCTTTTCTCTTCTCCCAACAAGGAACCATATTCCTAGTTTGAAAAATTCAACAATCATCTAATTTGATAGTGTTGTTGCTCTCAGAGTTAGTTCAGCTTGAAAACTAAAGCACAAAAATCTTGTCTGGGGGATCTGAGAAATGTATGCTTCAAACCCTGTTCTTCATGGCTAATAAGTCAAAAGTGTATACAACTTAATAGTTTTGAAATGGTGATATTTTATTGAAAGCTTATTATGGTTATAAAAGGGTTAGACAAACTTGTCAGGCCTTAAGTTTGCTTAGGCCCCCTAAACTGAACAATTACTTTGAAAAAAAAAAAACGTACATGAAAGAATTTATATACAATGTGAATCCTTTATATATTTAAATTAAAAACGTATTGAAAATAAGTATAATATTTAATTGATTGAAATAATCAAAATAAATATTACAGTATTGTATTCTAGTTAATTTATATGATAAAAAACTTAATCTTTTAAGACTGACATTTAATAAATGTTATTTGATTGATTTAAAATATTACAATAAATAATTAATTGATTTAAATGCCTATTTTGATAAATTTATAATAATATTAAATTATTAGTGGGAGTAAAAATAAAGATTATTTAATAAAAAATAAATTATCATGACGTTATTACAAGAAATCATCTTAGTTACCATATTTTTTTTTATAGTAATATATAATTTTATATTTTGAATTTTTGAGTGAGTGTTTTTAAACCCACCACCCACCCTCTTTCTTCAGCGCCTTATCCCGTCTCTGCCTCTTCAAAATGCCTATTTCCAATTCCATGTCCACCAGGGAGGAGAGAGAGAGAGCCACACTGTCATGGCGCCAAATCCCCAACCTCAAATACGACGTCGTTCACCCCAACCCTCACCACCGTCTCCGCCACAACGCCACCCTCACTTTCTCCGCCACCCCCGCCGCCGACTGTAAATTTGCCTCCGTCTCAGTGGCTGAAGCCAAACTACATCACGATTTCATGCCTACGCCGTCCCAACTCCTCAAGCACCCCCTCGCCGCCTTCGCCATCGTTCCCCGAGACGCCGCCCTCTTCACCGCCGGAGCCATCGCCGGCGCCGCCGCCAAGACCGTCACTGCGCCGCTCGACCGTATCAAGCTCCTCATGCAGGTGCGGATAACGGCGCTTTTATTTTCTTACATAGAAATTGACGGTAACTACCTCCCACCGAACATTTAACTGAACTTCAACAACTTGCTAACTGAAACTATAAATTAAACGCAGCATTTAATGGAGCCAAGAAAATGAGGTTATTTGTCACAAGAGAGTTATATAACAACAGTGGGCCAAAAATGGAATTTTTTTTTCTCAAATGTTTTTGCATTTTTCCACATTTATATTTTATGCATATACAGTTTTTAGTTTAACTTGCTTGTTATTGCGAGTTGATGGTACGTGCATGTTTGGATTAGGACCATTTTACTTTTTATAATCAAAATGTTGTTAGTCAAATGTTGAGAACAAGGGAATGTTGTTCTGACTGTTTCCTATGCTAAATGTTGGAAATATGAAACAAAATGAGAACAAGATCGTAATGAAAATACGTCAACAAAAGATGGAAACAGAAAGAATCCAAGCAGAGTCTTATAATCAAAATATATTGCAGACGAAATTTGTAATGAATCTATCCAAACACTCCTTATGTATTGCAGACTCATGGCGTGCGGGTTGGGCAAGATAGTGCTAAGAAGGCAATGGGTTTCATTGAGGTAACATTCAATGGTTTTCAGTTTACTCCCATCGTAATTTGTAAAGTTTTGAATGGTTTTGTTTTTCCACTTCATTTACGCTTCTCGCCCAACATTTTATTGTTTTTTGAAGTGTGAACTATATGACCCACCCTACTTTGCACGGAAATTTAACACGCTCTCTTTCATAAATTTAACGAATGGTGGCAACAAGGATCAAAACTCTAGACCACATGGACACGGTGGCTTCATAATCACGTCATAAACCAATTATCTCAAATTCTAAAACTGTCCGACTAAAACACATGAATGCTTCTATATCTAACAAACTTGAAATTAAAAAAACAAGAGATGTGAGAAAGAAGGAATTTCAAGAGGTAGTCAAGAAGTTCTATACCTTCTTGCTAGACTCCATTGCCTTGATTAAATATCGTATCTATTACCAATTGGTGAAAGACCTTTTTAGTTGAATGTGTAACCAGGTGGTTGCGTGACAATTGTATTTGCAAATGTTTTAAGTATTCATCTGCATGTTGCTGGCTAGGAATTGATAATTTATGGAGTTGGTTACTTGGTTAGACTGTTTTCTTTAATAGTGCTGTCTTGTAATTGTGGCCATCTTGTACAAAGGAAATTGGCAATTTCTGTGGGTAAAGACTTCCGACTTAGTAATAATAAAGTTAGGTCATGTTATTAAGGATTTGTATTTACATACAACAACAACAAAGGCTTATCTCATTAGGTGAGTTCAGCAATGTATCATGTGAAGCCACTGAGTTCAGTAAAAAACCAACGGATATATATTTACATATCACATTAATTGCTAATGTTGTTTATTAGCCCCTCTTCTTTTTGCTTGATGATCTTGTTTTTTCCCCTTCTTAGATGCACTAAGCTCTGGTCAAACTGTGATAAACTTTATTTTGGATCTTACCTTGATATAAATTACAGGCCATAACACTTATAGGGAAAGAAGAAGGCATTCAAGGTTACTGGAAGGGCAACCTCCCCCAGGTTAGTACAATCAGGAAAGAATTTATTGGTATTTTTATATTAAAATCACATAATATTGACCAGTATTTTCATTGTTTTAGTGTTTCTTCTTTGATGTTCCAGGTGATTCGGGTCATACCTTATAGTGCTGTCCAGCTTTTTGCTTATGAAATTTATAAGGTTGCCCCAAACTATCTTATCAGAAGTTCTAATAGCAAATATTACCTGTTCATGTCTGATATCTACTTTTGGATTCACAGAAAATATTCAGGGGAGAGAATGGCGAGCTCTCTGTTGTGGGAAGACTTGCAGCAGGTGCTTTTGCTGGCATGACATCCACTTTTGTAAGTAACAAATTAGAGCTGGCATGACATCCACTTTCTTCGGTTTGTTGTGTTCTTGTACTTTATTGTAGATTTTTATATAATACAGTTGATATCTCATATCTGTTAGCGATTTCCTTTTTGTAAATTACTCTCTTTATTTCCTGCTCATCTATTTTATTATTGTCCAATTGTCCGTTTATGAATCTAATTTTTGATATGCATGTAGATAACGTACCCATTAGATGTTCTGAGATTACGATTAGCTGTTGAACCTGGTTATCGAACCATGTCGGAGGTATGATTGAACTGGTTTGGTATTTGTGCGAGATCTGCCTTTATGAAAATGAACCATGTTGTGGCTTCTCCAGGTTGCCTTGAGCATGCTAAGGGAGGAAGGCTTTGCATCTTTCTACAATGGCCTGGGGCCTTCTCTTATTGCAATAGCCCCTTATATTGCAGTGAACTTTTGTGTTTTTGACTTGTAAGTTCAGTATATATTTTAAGAAAATCTATACACAATGGACTTGGACATTGAAATTGAAACATCCTGACTTTCTGTGGATGATAGACTAAAGAAGTCATTGCCTGAGAAATATCAAAAGAGAACTGAGACATCTATACTCACAGCCGTGCTTTCAGCATCTCTGGCTACCCTTACCTGCTATCCTTTGGACACTGTGCGAAGACAGATGCAATTGAAGGGCACACCTTATAAGACAGTATTAGATGCTCTTTCAGGTGAGGGTTACTTCTGCTTACTTTTTAGCATCAGCAATATTTAGTCACTCATACACTTGATTTATGTGCAAATTAGTGACAAATAAACCATATTGGTTTTCTTAAATCAGAATTCAGAAGTTTATGAGGGAAATATATTAAAAATCTGGCTAATGCATTGTAACGTAGTTTCTTATCTTATTCTTTGGCCCACAGTTATTGGGTTTGTAGCTGCAGTAATTATGTCAACTTATTGGCCTTGAATTTAATATTCCTTTAAGTGGACAATGTAGAATAATAACTGATTACAGTACGTTCAGAATCTTCCCATTCTTAACTAAATAATTAACTATTTGATTAAAGCAATAAAGTTGATCATTTCACTGTAAAGTGATCCCATATATATTTGGGAATTGAGAGAAATCAACACTTTCATTGAAGGTTACCCAATATGTTTATATCATGGTTGAAATATAACACAGTAGTATTTACACATTTAGAAATGCTGGAAAGGTGCAAAATGGTAATTTATTTTAACTTTTGTATTGTAACATATGATGAAACTCTTTGTAGCTGTTTTCTGAGGCATGCAGTTAACAAGTGTCCTTTTAGTTTTTGGATGTTTTTCTGCATCTTTGTTCAGTGAAGAACAAGCATGAATTAAATTTTTTCCTACCAAATCCTTTCAAACTAAAATCGGCTGACCATAATGCTGGAATTTATTTAAATATTGAGAACTTTTTGATTTTTTATGCTTCTGTAGATTGCATTATTACCAAATTTATACTTTTGTTCATGCAGGTATTGTGGCACGAGATGGAGTTACTGGTTTGTATCGAGGATTTGTGCCCAATGCTCTTAAATCCCTACCTAACAGCAGGTTCCTGTTGATAAGATTATGATATGTTGACCGTGTTGCCTTTTAGCAATGCTTATATTCTTTACCTTATCCAGATTTTCCATTTGACACCTGTAAGTTTTATGCTTACTTCTCATTGTTTTCTTATATATCCCTTTTATTTTCTCTCTGCAGCATCAAACTTACCACTTATGACATTGTTAAGCGCCTAATTGCAGCTAGTGAGAAAGAATTTCAAACAATTGCGGAGGAAAACCGGAACAAACAAAAGAACATTAACAACCAATGATACTGAACTCCGGATTCATATTGTTTTACCCAGTTTTGCTCCTTGAAAATTTGTGGAATTAGTACTCCCTATAGAACTATCCATTATTTGTGGGAATTACTTTAGCCCCTTTCTTCTGCAGCAATGATTTATCCGTCTGCCAGTGTTTCTGTCCCCGTTGGCTGAAAATTTTGTAGAATTTACGTGTTTGATTAGGTGCGCTGTAAATGCTATATATTCTTTGGATGAATTCATTATTCGCTGTAATTTTCGGGCATATTTTACTTACCTAACTCGGTGATGCAATATAAGCAAATGTTTTTTATTCACAATTAAAAACTCTTCGTTGCACACCACCTATTACATCTCACGCATAGTGGTATTTTAGGGGTTCTGATTTCGTTCTCTACCTATTATAGAACAGTGTTTATTCATAGGGGGCAAATAAATAAAGAAAAGGTAGCAGTATTGCTCACTATTCAGCATTCTTAAAACTATTTTCTTTCGTAGGTTATACACTCCCACAGCGAGAAAACAACGCGTAAGTAACGTTCAATATCACCCAAACCCCTTCCCAAAAATCACATATCCATATTTAGATACACCCACTGAAGAATACAGATCATCTTGAAAATGGGGAGACTGCCCTATCAGAATTATCACAACCAGTCAAAAGGGGCTCTTTTCTCACAAGTGCAGAAGACATCTCAGTGATTTCCCAGTAATCAAAAGATCGAAGGCTTTGTTTATCTCCTCAAAGGGTAACTCGTGAGTGATGAAATTATCCAGCCTCACCACCTATGAAGTTTATTAACGCCATAACAAATATTAGACCATGCATTAGTTTTCTTAATTTGTTATAAAAGAATAAACATTATTTACTCATCAAATACATTTACATACTTTTTTAGTATTTGAAAAATAATATCGCAAGTATTGAGGATCATTACCCCATGTCCACATTCTGTGGCAAATTGAGGCAACTGACTTTTCCCTTTGAAACCTCCAAATACTGATCCTACAATTCTGCGACCGTCAAAGAGCTCCATTGGGTGGATGGGAAGTAACCTTGGTGATGGATGAATTCCCAATACTACAGTCAATCCCCAACCCTTCATCACAAAAATTGACATGAAATTTGTAAGTGTAAGGTAATAAACTTTAACTGGTAAAATATTTAGTAATGAGTTTAAAATTGATATTTGCTTTCAAATGAGGAAGTTTACGTGAAGCATGGTTGAAATATTATGGCAATGAAACTAGAAACATAAATAAGGGGCAAAACTAGGTTGAACATAGCAATATACCTCATGCGCTGACAAGAAGGCATCCCTTAGAACGTCCAAGTTTCCAGTACATTCAAAACTATAGTGTACACCGCCATCGGTCATTTCTCTGATTCTCTGCGAATAAATTTACTACTTTGTTGGTGAAAATGTTTGTATTTTGTTTTGTGAAATAAGAGGGGATAGAGACAGAAAACTTCAACCTCGTACACTGGCTTCTCTTCATCGCTTGGATTTATGAAGTCTGTGACTCCCATCGCTTGGGCTTCGGGACAGAGAATGTATAATAATATATCACATTAGAATGGAAATTATAAAGTCATTTTGGAGTTTAGCTTCAATAAGGTTTTTGCTAAATTAATCCTTTCCTCCTCTAAATCTAGACAAAATTGGTTATCTAACTTCTATTCTATTCAATTTAGTTCTCTAAATTTAATCTTTAAAGTTTTACTTTTATTCTTGAACTTTTTTAGATTCTATTTATTTCTTTAAGTTATTTTTTTAAGACAAAATAATTATTTAACTTTGTTCCATATTTTAACTTAATCAAAGTTTTTTTAGTATATTAGATAAGAATTTGTTATTTTATATTTTTTACGCATTTTATTGTTACATCATTGTCCAAAACTTTCAAATTACCAATTAAATTCTCTTTAATTGTCTTCAAATCATTTCAAACCAATTGCTTATTTTGGTTTTTTTGTTTTCATTATAAATACCTAATAATCACTATCAATTCATTGTTATTATTCAAATCTTATGCATCTATGATTTTTATTATTAATTATTCTCATTATGAACTCATATATACGTTAAATACCAAAATATCTTCTAAATCAACAAAAATTGAAAGATAAAGTGATTTAACACAAAAAAAATATAAATAAAAATTTGAAGCCTAAATTGAAAGTACTAAAGTGAAAGTAAGATTAAACTTAAATGATTAAATTGAATAAAAAAAAGAGTCAAAGGACCAAATCAAAATTTAACCTAAACTTAGAGAATAAAATACAATTTAGCCTTATGCTATAATTTTTTTTTCTACTAATCCAAACTTTCAAAACCAATCAAAAAGATTAAGACAAAAATTAATACCAAGATAAATGCTAACTGATACCTTTAGGTATAGATTAAGGAATAAAAATGACAAATTACAGCCATAAAGTTGTAAAGAAATATTATTTGGTACTTCTCTATTTTTTTAACACAAATATTTTTTAACTTATGTAACACTATAACACTGTATATCCTCAAAAACTCTTAAACTTTTTTTTTTGCAATAATAAAAAGTAGGAGAGGTCAATGTAAAAATAAAAGAAAATAGATAAAACTTTGTTAAAACTTGGGAGTGTGAATGCAATTTGTCCTAACTTTTTTTTTATAAAATTATTACTAATGTATTCTCATCATTATTTTTAATATACATTCGAACATACTTTTTAATAAAATATTTTATTTAAATATTTTTTAATTAATATTCTTAAAATACTAGTTTCCAGAAACTCTAATAACAATTGAGAGGAAATTTACCTTTGATGAATTTGTCAGGGTTGATGTCTACGCCTATTATTTTGGATGCACCCCTAGCTCGTGCCCCTTCTGCAACCTGGATCAAGTCCAAATGAAAATGAGTGTCTCCCCTATATTTTGTTTTGTTTCATATATTGGGTTTTAAAGTAAATAGGATCTCATTCAGACCAAGACAAGTAAACAATTCATTTACATATTTTTTATGATAACATATTTACTAAATATTTCAATTTTAATTATTAATAATTAAACAATTGAAAGACAAGTAGTAAACGTGGGGGTTAGAATGATCACACACTCTGCGACAAAGTGGAACTGTGGAAGACATGTAGACAACATGAAAGACAAAGGGTACTTTTATTTTTTTCTAAAATGGTAAAAAAATTATTTAACTAAAGCTAGTTGGTGTAGGATATTACATCATGATAAAGAAGTAATGAAATAGAAAAAGGAAAGTCTTCTACGTAAACTTCTACATAATATGACACCGGAAAAGCAAAGACATTTTATTAGCATCTCTCCTAATACGTGCAACCCACAGAAGATTTTGTTTTTTCCTTTGCATCATTACAGAAAAAATTTAAATCAGCGGAGAAAAGGAAGCAGTGTTAAACCAGCCGAAGTCATTGCAAAACGCAGGCCTAGGAATTGTGATGCTGCTGCTAAGCATTATATATTCTTATTTATCTTCTTAATAATTTATTGATTATTTTATATATCTAAAAATATAAAATATTAGTTTTTTATTTGATAATTAAGAAGATTTATATAAAAATTATTTAGAATTATTATTTACCGGTATATCCACGTTAAACTTGCAACTCTTATATCACAAATTGTTAGAGACAATCTTTTATATTTAATTTTTAATTTTTTGAATATTTATTTATACTATTAAACTTTATAACAACTTAAATAACAGACTATGATAACTAGATAAAGTAGATAAAGTTATTTGTAGTAACTTTTTTTTAATCATTAATTATAGGAATCAAATTATATTATTTATTTGAATTAACTAATTGGTCTAATACGTCTACCAACGTTGGGATTCTGTCAATAATATCAATTTATTTTTTAAATGTTGGTGATGTGCCTTTAATAATAGTTTGGTTAAGTAATCAACTAGTTAATCAATAGTAAAACGTGATGAAACTTAGGTTTTTCTCGTAGTCTTGAACAAAATAAATGTCAATTGAGATGTGTTTCATGCGATTATGGTAAACTGAGTTATAAATAAGGTAAGTAGCACTCAAATTATCATAAAGAAGTAATGGAGATTTGGAAATAATAACACCCAGGCTAGCAAAGAAAGAACAAATCTAGGAGAGCTTTGTAGTGAAGTTAGCTAAAGATCTATATTCAACTTCTGTGGATGATCGAGCAACGACATGTTGTTTGGAGGATTTCCATGAAATTAATTAAGTTAGATTCATAAAAAATAAAATGATCAGAAGTGGAAGTGAAGTTATCTTTATTGCCTACCTAATCCACATCGCTATATGCTAGGAGAGTATGAAGCATTAGAATATGAAAAATAGTAGATTTAAGATATTGAAAATGACGTGTAAGAGCAGTCAAATGGGTGGTAGTAGGTCATTGCCTAAATTGAGCCAATTTATTGACCAAAAAAACAATATCTGATCTAGTCATTGACAATTATTAAAGGTTGCCAATTATGCTAGGGTAAAATGTGCTATCAATAGTAGATAAACCATCATCATTGCTAAGAGAATTACTTGTTGACATCGAAATAAGAATAGACCTGACTTCATGCATTTTTGTTCTTTCTACAAGATCTCTAATGTATTCATGTTGGCTTAAAAATAAACCAATAAGGGTTGATACTACTTCAACACCTTGTAACTATTATGTCTTATACGTATATAAGAATGTATAGAATTGCATCGTTGTTTCTGAGAATAAAAAGAGAGGAACCAAACTTTGAGTTAATAAACCCATAATTACGTAGGAACTAATGCAAGGTATGGAACCAAGCCCTTGATGCTTGCTTGAGTCCATACATTGATTTCTTTAGACGTCACACATGATGAGGCTTCTTTAGACAAATGAATCCTGGAAGTTGTTAGATGTAAACCTCTTCATGTAATGCACTATGCAAAAAGACATTATTTACTCAAGAGAAAGGAGATTGATTTTCAATTATACGTAGAAAGGAGACATTATTCACTTAAGACATTATTTATAAGTTCTAAAGGAAAGCATGTCTTAATGGAAGATAAAGAAAAAGGAAGTTTATGACTTTCATTAAGATGACAAGAAACTCAATACAAATTGTTATTGGCTAAGTTTCTAGAGATGTCACAACTTGTCAGCATTTAAGTGAGTGTTTTAAAGGAGGGATGACAAAGATAAGCATGCCAAATTGAAGAAAGAGAACATGTAGATGATAGAGCAGTAGAAGATAATGAAGACTTTGGACAAACATGATAGAAATCACCACTACCTGGACTGAACATCAACATCGCCTCTATTGCTTAATTCTTCACACAGAAAAAAGAGGGGTGAAATTCAAGATATACTCTATTTGATTTACTGAATTTTGAAATTAAGATTACATTATGTTTTGCATGTGGAACACATAAAACAGTGTGAAGGTTAAAAATTGTAGTGAAAATAGGGAGTTTAGAGGAACCAATGCCTGAAATTTTCAAACATGTATCATCACCAATTTGAACCTCGTCGGGGCTATCATATTCAAAATAGAGATGTAAATTATTAAGATATATGGTTACATGATAACTAGCACTATTATAAAACACTCAGCTAGATGTTGATGCAAAAGAGGCAAAAGAATAATTAATTGGTGGTGGTTGATTGAGTTGTAAGATTTGATGACAATATTTTGCTATGTGATGGAGGAGGGAGCAATACTGACACCGTGGTAGAGGTCTATTACCACATGAAGAGAAGCCACGATTTTTTTCTAGTAAAAGTACTAGGTAGACCACACAAAGAGAAGATGCATCCATAGGTAGGTTGAGTAGGTTGAGAGAAAGAATTGTCATGTCCATATTTTGGTGTTGGAAGAAGACTATTTAGAGGGGTGTTGTTGATGAAAGGGAAATCTGTGGACAAAGTTGGCAATTGGAACTTGCACATCACATTGAGTAGTTTTGCGACTTGAGGTATTCATTATAGGCAAATAAATGACTGTGAAGTTCTTTAAAAGTGAAAGGATGTTCACGTGTGTAGATTGAAGTGCAACATCGTCATCTGAGAAAGATTTATCAATGACAGCAAGTTCATCTGCAAGCCTTTTCGCTGAGGATAGATAATCAGTGATTGATCTATCTCCCTTAATGTAACGTTGAAGTTAGTTCATCATAACATGACAGCGATAAGTGTTGGCAAACTGAGCTTCGATGACAACTTATAGAGATGGGGCAATCTTATAAGAGGCAAAAGAAAAACTATCATGGAAGCAATGAGAAGATTAATAATTAGTTGATCAATGGTAAACTAAGAAGTGTAGTCGGAATTGAAAATAGTAGAACTAGCACGAACAATAGTGGAAGGTTGAGATGGTGTAGTTCCATCTATGTGGCTCATGACCTGGATACCGGAGAGGAGAGTGGTCACCTAACATTTCCATGCTCGAAAATTAGAGTGAGACAGTTTGAAAGTGATAGAAGCATTGAGGACAAGGAATGATTTAGAAAAGGCAGGGAAAGTAATGTTAGTGCCAGCCATAAATTAGAAAGAAATGAATCGAATTGGCAGTGAAGCTATTGGCAAACTAATATCACGTAGAAAATTGAATCAGATTGATATCTTTTTTAATTTTTAAAATGTTGCATCACTATATAAAATTGAATTGCATATGCATTAGATTAAAAAATTCAAAAAATATAACAAACTATAACAAGATAAAGTTGTTTAAAGCTATTTTTAGCAACTTTTATTTTAATTTTTACTTATAAAAAGTAAATCATATTGTTTATTAGAATTAATCAACTTATTTAATACATAATTATTTTATTATTATTAAAAATCAAAGGTTTTAATCCATTAATAACGTTATAATCTTTAATTAAAAAGTTATTGTTATTTTTTAATTGACTGCTCTCAAGAGCTATTTATTCAGTTGTTATTTTTATTTTTATTTTTACTATTTTCAGTTGTTATTTTAAAAGTAACTCATGAATGATGTTTTAAACAGAATATGAAGTTTAAAATTTTTAAAATGAAAAGAAAGAATAAGATGAACAGAGGAATATATAAATGAATAAACTTACAGCGAGCCCAACAGCTCCTAACCCAAAGACAGCCACAGAGGAACCAGAATGTACATTTGCTGTATTCCATGCAGCTCCAACCCCTATATTTAATTCAGTTTCAATAATTCCCAGCCACATCACAATTATGTCACACAACCGACACCTTATCAAGATTCAATTCAAGTCATAGACGCAATATTTAAATGGTGACATTTTCATGAATCCAAATCTCTCACAAGCACTCTCAATATATACTTTTAACAAATAAAAACAATAAGGAGATCTACTTTATTCTAAAAAAATGTGTTTTATACACTTATTTCAATTATAATGTTATATAAAATATAAATTTAACTGTTAAATCATATAATATTATCTTAATAATTATATATTAAAATTTAATTGATTAAATATTTAATATTTAATTTTGTAATTGACACACTAATATTTTAAAAATCTGTTGTGTTTTAAAACAAAGTTAATTAATAAAATATTGTTTGACTTTTAAGTTATATAAAATTTGATAAAATTATTTATTCAATGAAACTTTCAATTTATTAAAACTCAATGTTTACAAAAATTGTAAATGGAATAAATTTAAAATACTTATTCCTCAAATCTCTGCTATGATAATAATAACAACAATTTATATGTTTTGATTGGAACTATTTTTTTCTTTGTTTATTTAATATTTTGTACAAAAATGAAGAAAACAATCAATATTTTAATTTTAATTGTAATTTATTTATTATATCATACGCCTCGTTCATTCTATTATTTTGAGAAGAAAAACGAAGAATCAAAGAAAGACACGTTAATTATTTTAAAAAACATAAAAACTAATTATTAATTTAATAAAATAATAATAAAAATAAAGCTATTAAATATTATAAATTGTTCTTTCAATCTGTATTTATAAGCACACGTTCCAATGTTAAATGTATAATTTCTTATTAAAAATATTTATTATCTTAAAATTATAAATATTAATATATACTTTTATGATAATTTAAAATATTTAATACAATATATTTAATATTTTTTAATACACGTATCTAAATATATATTAAAAAATTTATCGTTAGAGTGTGATTGAGAATTGAAAAAGAAAATGTAAAAAAATTAACGCAAAATTTAAATTTATGCATAATACATATATCCTTCTAGCTCCTGCAGTAATGTTATATAAATATTACTCGAGACGTAAGAATTTAAAAGTATATTTAATTATTTCATTTTTATAGTATTATAATTTTTTCTTAAAGTTATAAAATATTTTTGAAAAATTAAAATTAATTAAAAAGATTATTTTTAAAAGGAAAAAAATTAGTATCTGCTGTGTACCAGTAAATTTAAAAAAGTATTTCATATGTTCTTTAAATTAATATCTGCAATTTTTATAATATCTTAAAGGATATTAACATTTTTTAATTTAATTAATTAATTTTATTATTTATTAATATAAAATTAATAGTTAAAGTAATTCTATAGATAAAAAAATTATTAATACAGCGGGCCGACCTCTGACGGCCTTAAATTATTGTTACGCAATGGACGTGGTATGTGGCCCACTCCATTGGCGCTTTTATTATAATAAAACAAAAAATTTCGATAAAAGAAAAGCTTTTTTCTGGGAAAGTTTGAAATTGTCAGTGTAGTATAATAACACACACACAGAACTCTTTTTCTTTTCTTTTCTCTTTTTGGATCAAATGACAAACTGTGCCCTCTTTTCTGGCGGTATATTGGCTGCCCTAGAAAGTTTTCAGAAAATGACATTTTCTAATTAATAGGTCAGAGACACAACATTGACACCAATAGTTGCTTTCATCTCAAGAAAGTTCTAATTTTTCAAGTCAACTTTTATTGCTCCACTTAAAATGTCATTATAGTTGAAAAAAATTCCACAATGACCTTGTCAATTTTCTCTGCTTTGAAAATTTCTAATATATTCACCCTATGACCTGTTTGTTTGGAAATTATAATGGGACACACGAATTTTAATGTAAATATCTCCGTTTTAAATCAATTTCTCTGAAAAGAGAAAAAAACTAAAATGACGAAAAACAATTTTAAACAAAGATACAAACAAATTCATACTCATAAATTTTCGTATGTATTAACGTTTGCAATAAAAAAAGTTACCATTTAAAATTTATTAATTTTTTAATTAACTGCACTTAGTCAACAAAACCTTGAATAAAATATCTATTAGAATGCGTCACACCCCTTAAATAAAATTCAAGAGTGAGGAGGATTGATCACAAAACACAGCATGGAACGTGTAAATGTTGAAAATGGAAAAATCAACACGCAAACAAACAAACCCTCCCATGCCAGACAAAAAGTGAGACAATGAAATCCTGAAACGGGTTCATTCATGGTTAAATTATTTTTTTATTATGTATGATATTTTATATTAAATTTTTTATACAAACTTTTACTTTTATTTTCTTAAATATTAATAAATTCAGGCGCAAATCTCCATATATATATATATGATTTGAGAAAATGGTCTTGTAAAATGAAATTATTTTTTAATTTTTGATTCAGTAACAACTTTTTACTATATGTTTAAGAACGTAGAATAACTTTATCAAAAATCATAATATCAATAACATTAAATAATATAAGTTGTAATAAAAGGTTAAGGGTTTGAGTCTGACCTGTGGATACCCCGCAGCTGAGCAAGGTGAGGGTTTTGAGGCTGAGGGTGGGGTGGGGGTGAAGTTTGACCACGCAGGCTGAGTCAACGACCGTGTACTCTGAGAAAGTGGAAGTGTTCAAGAAATGGAAAATGGGTTTGGCATTGATGTTAGAGAACCTGCTTGTGCCATCACTTTCCATCACCTTCTTCATGGGGTTCACCCCAAACCTCTCACACATGTTGGTTTGGTCACACTTGCAATATGAACACTCACCACACTCCCCATTGAATATTGGCACCACCGTATCCCCTTCCTCAATGTCACTCACCCCTTCCCCCACACTCTCCACAATCCTGCAATTTCAATTCATCTTAGTTTTCTCACAATCATAACATTTTGTCCTTCTCCCTATATTAACAGAATATATGATAACTTTTGTCCTTTTCTTTAATGCCTTACCCGGATGCTTCATGGCCTAAAATCCGAGGATATGCACGCTGAGACTCGTTCTGTTGTTGATCATAACAAGGAAAGAAGAAATTTAAAAAACTATGAGACAACTTTTAATAACATGGTGAAGGGATCATAGGCTACATGAAAAATTAATATTGAATTGTTTATATTGACATACCTCGGCTTTCCAAGCGCTAAGATCGGTGTGACAAATAGAAGTATAGAGGATTTTGATTCGAACCTCCATCTTTTGAGGAGGATGAACAAGGATTTGTTCCACCACAAATGGCTCTCCCGGACCATATGCCACGGCGGCTAATACATCCATCATATTCAATTAGATGCATCATGATGATGATGATGATGATGATAATGATGTGTGAGATACTAACCTTTGCACTTAATGGTCTTTCCCTTTGTCTCAGTTGGCTTCAAGTTCAATGTCCCATTTACTGCTTCTGAACCTGTCATGTTCTTCTTCTAACTTGTTCTGTGATACTTTTTTTCTTTCTAGCACTAGCTTTTAAGAAGATGACAAAGCAAATTTATGGTTCATTTAACTGAACAAACGCCCTTCAGAAAAGCAATTTAATAGTAGAGAGTGAATATGTGTTCGATTTAGATTGGTGAGGATAAAATTGATTTTAAAATAATTGACTTTCGTTTAAAAATTCTATTTTCAAAATTGATCAAGCTTTAGAAGTCTTATTGATTAGTTAGTTGATTGAGTCGTGGAACATGAACTATGAATATGAATACTTAAGGTTGATCTCTCCCAATAAATTATTTTTTTCTTAACGAGTTCATTTTCTTTCCTAAGGCTAACTATAATTTTTTTAGATAAATATAATTTATAAATTAAATTTATCTAATGTATAAAATAAATTATTAGTAGAAGCTCTCACAAACGAGTGCACTTTTAGGAGATGATTTTTTTTCATCAAGTCAAATATTATTTAAATTTTTTAAAAACAATAAAGTGTTTATTCTTAACAAGTACAAAATTTATCCTGTTTTAAATTTATCAAATTAATTAAATTTAAAATACTCATACAATATATTTATAATTATTTATTTTAAAAATATTTTATTTAATTATACCAATGAGTGCACATGAAAATCACTAGTATTTTTTAAAAATTTAGTGATTTCAAAAAATATATATTTATTTATTAGAATATTAAAAATTTACACTCTGATTATTTTCTTATAAAACAAATTTATCATATCATAAATTAATTTTAACAATTTCAGAACTTATCTAAGTGATAAATAACTGTGAAAACTAAATTTTACTTAAAAAAATAATTCTTTAACCTAATTAGGAAGCATTATAAACGAAATTATTTAACTTAATTGAAAATTATTTATAAAATTTTATTTTTCTGTTATGAAATACTCTAAGATAATTTGATATATAAATACATTATATATTACAAGTATTTTTTACAAATACCTCTTGTATCTAGGGAGGGCCAGTTCATCCATAAAGCAAGTAAAGTCATTGCTTTACGTTTCTTTATTTTTTTTTACTAATAAATAAAATTTAAAGTATATTTTTTCTTGAAAATAAATATTTTTTTTATTATATTTTGTTTTCTTTAATTGGTACCTACTTCATTTATTTTAATTATTTATATATTATTAATTTAAATAAAATATATCAATTTTATCATTAAAATTATAAATTTTTGTGTAAGATTGATTGTGTCTCGACAAAAATTAAGTGTATTAGTTTTATTATCAATTGAAAAAATGCTAAATAAAAATAATTAAGATAAATTAATATTTTTTTAAATGAAATTACAATACTTTTAATTTTGTGTCTCTTTTTCTTTAGTGCACTATATTAGACAGGATTACTTAATATAATTAGTTTCTTCTTTGTCTTTAGATGTTAAGTCCTGTTGATTAAAAAATATTTTAATTAATTTAAAAGGTTTAATTTTTAAAATTAAAATAATAAAATCTTATTTAAAATCAACTATGTCTCAACAAAAATAAAATAGATTAACTTTATTGTCAGTTTAGATAAAATATATTAAATAAAAATAGTTATAATACATCAATGTATAATTTTGTACGTCGATGGATTAAAAAAAATAATTTAAATACAACCACAATAAATTTAAAAAAGATTTAATTAATTTTTAAAAAAAATTATTTTAAAAGTTCTTCGAAATTTAAATAGACATAGCCCCACCCTACATCGGTATGGTTATGGTCCTCGGTAAAGGCACATTAATAAGTTAGGCGTAGGTGGGAAGCGACTGCGAGTTAGGCAAACAGGTGACACACTATTATGCACATCATTTTCTTACGTTCTTAGAGTAACTGTCTATTAGGATACGAAGTTGCACGAACATACATGTACCCGAAACATTTTCGTGATTTTTGTCAAATGTGATTCAAACTTATAATTTCAAGCAAATAAAGGTTTACTCATTTTAATATTGATAACCTCAATTTATTCTTAAATTTGAAAGTATTGAAAGAAATGTTGACAAAAAAAAAAAGAATTAATACTAATTTTAATGTGTTAAATTATATCATTAGTTATTTTTTAAATATAATTATAAATATTATTTTAATCATTATATAAAATTTAATTTTTTTTAATTTGATCTTTATAAAAAGTTATGAATAGCTCCCTAAATCAAAAAAATAATATTTAAAATCATCCATAATGTTAATAAAACTGTTAACTTATATTTAATTTTTTTTATTTTGATCTCTACACAGAATTTTATTTTTTTTATTATGGTTCTTATATATAATATATTTTTATTTTAGCTCTTATATATTAAAAAAACCAATTGTAAGGATTAAACTAAAAAGATATATTTTATAAAAGGACAGAAGTAAAAATATATGTAGACTTTAAAAAAATTCACCATAAAATATAAATTAAAAAAATGTCATCATAATTTAGGATAAACTAAAAAAAATTAATTTGAAGCTAATTATGAGAAGATAGTATTTAGAATTTTGATAAAAAAAAACTGCTTTTATTTATAATGAAATATTACAAAGGAAAAACTTTAATTTTTATTACCAAACAATCTTTTAAATGATCTCTTAAATACATTTTTACTAAACTCTCAAATAACTAAATTATCATGACAATTTTCATAATTACACGTTAATTTATAGTTACATTTAAAGTTAGTTAAACACCTTTTGTAACCTGCATGAATCACTATAATTTCTTTTAACTTATTTTAATGGTAAATTTTATATTAACTTTTTATATTTTATATTATTTTAATATATATATATATATATATATATATATATATATATGTATGTATTATTGTGTCTATGTAAAACATTTTTTGTATTCTTATAATTATTTTTTTAAGGAATACAATGAAAAATGTGTTAAACTTTAACGAAAGAATTTGGAAAAAATAAACTATTATTTAATAAGATGACAGATATTTTACCATAATAATAAGGTTTCCCAGTTTTCGGTCAAGCATAACATATTTGACACAGCCAGACCTTAAAATAAAGCAGATTATGCCGTGGAAAGCTGGAACTTGAAAGATATTGAAAGTAATAATAATAAAAGGAAGGTTAGTAAGATAATTTTTTGAATATATTGTTCGATATAGTATTCTTTATAATTAGTCAGTTGTTTAAAATTAAATCAAATTTAAAAAATAATTTTATAAAATATGTAATTTGACTTTTAAATAATCGATCAATTATAAGAAAGGTTGACAATTGTGTTAAAAATATATTATTAGTATTTTTTGTGCCAAAGAAAATATAATTGTAGGTTTCTTTAGGTAAATTTACAATATTTTTTAATTAAAATTATAATTTATATTAAAAATTAATATTTAATTATTAAAATAAAATTTTAATTTAATTAAAAAATAATCTTTAAAATATTTTAAAATATGTATGTAAATTTTACTATTTTTAATAATATAATAATAACGATGAAATTGTCATATGTGACGTGGTCACTTGACAAAACTTAATGAATAAAAAATTAGTAAAAAATTAAGTTGATTTGGTAATAAAATTGATTTTTTATAATTAGTAATAAATTAATTTAAATATATTTTTTATTTAGCTAAATAAAAATTTAATATTAACCAAAAAAAGGTTATCATATGAAATCATATATAAATAGTGATATGAGGTTAAACTTGAAATTACAGTAAACTCAATATGATTGTGTGAATAAAATACTTTCTTCTATAACTAGTAGTATTATCTAGGATTAGTAGCAAACACATTAAAATTAAAATATTTAATCATTACATAATATAATTGTACAACTACATTTTAATATTTTTGATACATGACAATTTATTTTAGTGTGTCATGTGTCATCATACAATGACAAAAACACATGCACGCTTCTAACAGTCTATAACAGGAGTACTAAATGACAAAATCAGAAACACTCATATATATAAATGATAGATTCTCCTACAACTTGAAGAGATTTCTCTAACTTGGGGCCAGAGTGTTTCTTGCAGGGATATCCTTCATTGAAGCCTTCAAAGAACCTTAAACTACCTTTAATCACTATGAAGAATCACTTATATTGGAAATGTTGTTCATCCTGACCATCTCGTGCTGACCGTTGGCGGTATTTGTAGGAAACGATTAACTTATTCCTGTCAACTCTATTATGAGCATTGTAACGCTCTGAATTTTATAATATTGTTTGATTATTAATATAAGCGTTATATGAATTTTCACGTGTTTGTGTATTTGATATATATGTGTGTGTGTGTGTGTATATATATATATATATATATATATATATATATATATATACATATACATATATATTTGTATATATGTTGTAATGAGAATATATGTATATGTAATGATGTAGACTTGTATGAGTGTGTGAATGCGAGTATGAGCATGTGTATTAGTTGTGGTGGAATTGGAATTGTTGTAGATGATTGGAATTGGATTTAAATTTAGCTAAGTGTCTGGTACAGGTTATTCTCGCTACAGTGAAAGATGTCTTACTGTAGCGAGAGGGCCTTGGGAGGAAGGCGTAAAACTGTTGTCATTTCTGGATGCAATCTCATGGTAGCGAGATTCTGCAGAAACTAGGATGTAATTTCCTTTGAGATTTTCGCTGTAGCGACAAGGAGCGTCACTGCAACGAGAGTGTCGGGACTAGAGGGGTATTTGAAATGGTTAAGATTTGAAAAATTCATTTCTCATTCATTTCTTCAAAATTCCTTTGATTCTCTCGACCTAAAACCCAATTTCACCGATTAAATTGCCTCCAAAGTTGTTCGCAAGTTAGATTGAAGGTTGCATTTGTGTTGGGAACACTTGGAGGTGAGTTTTAAATAGTTAGGATTTGGTTTTCGTCCTTCTTCTCTGTTTTTTGGGTTCTCTTCAATTTCTCATAGAGTTTCCCATGTGTTTTAGGGATGAAATTCATGTGGAGAACATTTTTTACCGTTAGTTTGTGTTGGGTCTTCGATTTGAGGTAAAGGGGGACTCTACCCTATCTCATTATATTTGA